CCTTTGCATTTTTTTTTTCAACGTTTTATTTATTTTTGGGACAGAGAGAGACAGAGCATGAACGGGGGAGGGGCAGAGAGAGAGAGAGGGAGACACAGAATCTGAAACAGGCTCCAGGCTCTGAGCCATCAGCCCAGAGCCCGACGCGGGGCTCGACTCCCAGACCGCGAGATCGTGACCTGGCTGAAGTCGGACGCTTAACCGACTGCGCCACCCAGGCGCCCCTCTTCTGTATTTTAGATAGCAACTTCTTTCAGATATACGGTTTACAGATATTTTTTCCCATTTGGTAGGCTGCCTTTTCATTTTGCTGATGGTTTCCTTTCTGTGCAGACAAGCCTTTTAGTTTAATGAGTATACTTTGTTTATTTTTGTTTCTGTTGCCTGTGCTTTTGGTATCAGATCTCAAACATCACTGCCAAGACTGATGTCAAGGAGCTTACACCCTATGTTTTCTTTTAGGGGTTTTGTAGTTTCAGGCCTTATACTTAAGTCTTTAATCTATTTCAATTTTTTTGAGTGCTGTAACATAGTGGTCCAATTTCGTTCTTTTGCATGTGGACACCCAGCTTTTCTCAACACCATTTACTGAAGAGATTACCCCTTTCCTATCGTGTATTCTTGTGCCTTTGTCAAGGATTTGTTGACGGTACATGCTTGAATGTATGGGCTGTTTCTGGACACTCTGTTCTGTTTCAGAGCTACAATATAAGGTGGCGATGCTGCTCTGGGTGCACATCTGAAGGAAATGAAACGAGTGTCTCAAAGAGGTGTCTGCCCTTGCACGTTCACAGCAGCATTGTTCGTAATAGCCAAGGCGTGGGGACAACCTAACTTGTTCATCAACAGATGAACAAATGGATACAGAAAATGTGGTATACATATAAACAGTGGAGTATCATTCAGCCGTTGCAAAAACATAGATAAACTTTGAGGACATAATACTAATTACTAAGTCAGGTAGAGAGAGATAAGTACTATATAATCTCCCTTATATGTGGAATATAAAAAGTTTAACTTACAAGAACAGGGAGTAGGATGGTGGTTGCCAGGGGCTGGAGCTGGGAGAAATGGGAGATGATGATCAAAAAACATAAACTTTTCAGTTAACGAGTAAGTTCTGGGGGGGGTCTAATGTATGGCACTGTAATGATGGCTAATAATACCTACCGTCTTGCACACTTGAAAGCAAAAACAAAAACTGAGCAACCACATACATGCACGTAAGCCCAAAAGTGTTTTGCAATGGAAAAAAAAGACCCTCCCCCCGCCCCCAAGAAAGCTGTGTGAATACCATGTTAACAGCATTTCCGCTTAGTTCCGATCGTTTTCCCTGATGTATTTAAAACAACCAAGTAACATTTCAGTAAAGCTGCAGGATATAAAATGAATACGCAGAAATCAGTTGTGTTTCTACACACTAATAACAAATTAGCATAAAGAGAAATTAACAATTGCATTTACAATTGCACCAAAGAGAATAAAATAGTTAGGAATACATTTAACCAAGGAGGTGAAAGACCTGTACTGTGAAACCTATAAAACACTGATGAAAGAAACTGAAGACACAAACAAATGGTGAGACCTTCCATGCTCATGGGCTGAAGGAATTAATATTGTTAAAATGTCCATCCTACCCCCTAAGCAGTTTACAAACTCAATGCAACCTCTCTCAAAATACCAGCAGTGTTTCTTATAGAACTAGGACAAATAATCCTAAAATTGTCTGGAACCACAAAAGACTCAGAGCGATCTTGAGAAAAAACAAGCTGGAGGTATCCCAATCCCAGATTTCAAGATATACTACACAAAGCTGTAGGAATCAAAACTGTATGATATGGGCACAAAAACAGACATATAGACCAATGAACAGAATAGCCCAGAAATAAGCCTATAATGTAGGCACATTTATATGATCAATTAATCTATGACAAAGGAAGTAAGAATAAACAAGGGAGAAAAGACAATGTCTTCAATAAATGGTGGTCCCCACCCCATACATGAAAATACACTCAAAACGGATTAAAGACCTAAATGTAAGAACTGACACCATAAAACTCCTATGAGAAAACAGAGGTAGTAATTTCTTTCACATTGGCCTTGGCCTTTGCTAGATAGGTCTCCTCAGGCAAAGGAAACAAAAGCAAACATGAGACTATTGAGACTACCTCAAAATGAAAGGTTTTGAACATCAAAGGAAACCATCAACAAAACGGCAAGGCAACCTACTGAATGGGAGAAGATATTTGCAAATGACATATCTGACAAGGGGTTAATATCTAAAACATACAAAGAACTTATGCAACTCAACACCACAAAGAACAAATAATCCAATTAAAAATGGGCAGAAGGCCTCAATAAACATTTTCCCAAAGAAGTTATACAGATGGCCAACTGCACATGAAAAGATGCTCAATATCACTCATCATCAGGGAAATGCAAATCAAAACCACAAGGAGATATCACCTCACACCTGTCAGAGAGGATAGAATGAAAAAGGAAAGAAATGAGAGGGGTGAGGACGTAGGGAAAAGAAACCCTCGTGCACTGTCGTGGGGATGTAAGTTGGTAGAGCCACTGTGGAAAATTGTATGGAGGTTCTTCAAAAAAACTAAAACTAAAATTATCACGTGATCCAGTAATTCTACTACTGAGTATTTACCCAAAGAAAACAAAACAAACTAATTCAAAAAGATATATGCACCCCTATGTTTACTGCGGCATTATGTATCATAGCCAAGATATAGAACCAGCCCAAGTGTCCATCCATATAGATGAATGGATACAGGAGAAGTGGTATATATGCACAATGGAATATTACTCAGCCTTAAAAAAGAATGATATCTTACCATTTGCAACAACATGGATGGACCTAGAGGGTGTTATGCTGAGTGAAGTAAGTCATACAGAGAAAAACAAATACCACATGATTTCACTTATATGTGGAATTGAAAACACACAACAATCAAAAAGCAAAAACAGACTCAAATGCAGAGAACAAACTGATGGTAGCCAGAAGGGAAGGGGGTGGGGGACTGGGCACAACGGGGGAAGGGAGTGGGAGATCCAGGCCTCCAGTTATGGAATGAACGGATCGTAGGAATAAAAGGTGCAACACTGAGAATGCAGTCAGTGATACTGTAACAGCACTGTATGGTGACACATGGTAGGTACACTTGTGGTGAGCGTCACAACAGAAAGAGATGTTGCATCACCTTGTACATCTGAAACTAATGTAACATTGTGTGTCGGCTGCACTTCCATAAAATAAATTTTAGAAGAAAGAAAAAATTCGCAACACAAAGAAAATAAAAAAGTAAACAAGACAAAAAAACCAAGTAGCCTGTTCTTGTGTTACACGTCATTAAATGCTACCTTTAAAATTTTTGTTTTCAACGTTTTTTATTTATTTTTGGGACAGAGAGACACAGAGCATGAACGGGGGAGGGGCAGAGAGAGAGGGAGACACAGAATCGGAAACAGGCTCCAGGCTCCGAGCCATCAGCCCAGAGCCCGACGCGGGGCTCGAACTCACGGACCGCGAGATCGTGACCTGGCTGAAGTCGGACGCTTAACCGACTGCGCCACCCAGGCGCCCCTAAATGCTACCTTTTACTGAATTCCTTCAACAAATATAGATTGGACACCTATCACGTATGACTATGACTGTTCTAGGTATTAGACAAGGAATGGGGAGCAAAACCAAGGTAATTAACCACATGAAACTGACATTCTGGTGGGGGAGGGGCAAAGGTTAGGTAACTTAAAAAGGGCATGAGAATGATGGATAGCCATGAAGTGTCGGGAAAGAAATGTGCTCTCTGGTAGAGACCACTTTCCCCCAGTGGGGGAAAGTACACAGAACTTAGGCCATAGAAAAATTATTTGGCCCATAATAAGAACGAAGAAGACCCAACAAGATAGGAAGAAAACAGAAGAATACAGTCAGAAAAGCCACAAGGAGGAGCATCTGGGCGGCTCAGTCGGTTAAGCGTCCGACTTCGGCTCGGGTCATGATCTCACAGTCCGTGGGTTCGAGCCCCGCGTCGGGCTCTGTGCTGACACCTCAGAGCCTGGACCCTGCTTCACATTCTGTGTGTCCCTCTCTCTCGGCCCCTCCCCTGCTCGCATCCTCTTTCTCTCTCTCTCAAAAATAAATAAACATTAAAAAAATAAATTAAGGAAAAAAAAACCCAGAAAAGTCAAAAGGAGATAGTGATTCAAGGAGAGAATAGGTGGTGGGGTTGGCTGTTTGAGATGAAGGAAATTCCATCTAGAAGAATGTCTATTAGACTTAACAGCTGGAGGTCACCGATGACGTTGACAAGTGCAATTTCACGGTAATGTGGAGAAGAAAGCCACCCTGAAGAATATGTGGCCAATCCTGAGAGGTTTTAGTATGAAGAAGAAGAGAGAGACCAGGCATTTGTCAGAGATGGAACACTCTGAAACATGGACAAAAGGAGTTAAAGCAGGTACGTGTGTTGTTGAGGCCAGAGCGCTAAGTCGAGACAGACAGGCGGTGCTTCGTACCCTGAGTCAGGCCTGCTGTGGAACTGAAGGCAGGCCAGGGCTTCCAAGCACTCTGTGGGAGGCAGGTCTATTAGCTTGACTACTGCTGAGGGCCGGACTAAGATGTGTTGGTGCTGTCCTTTCTAGAACCTTCTTTCTGGTCATTACAGCTCAGCCTTTGTGAACCACTCTCAGACTTTTGATAGCCAAGGGCTTATACTCATATAATAAAAGACATTAATTAGCCTCCCTGTGAGGCACAACACCATGATTCCCAAATACATACCCTTTACAAACATACGCCTTCAACAAAGATTTCTCACTCCAGCTTCCAAATACAGTTTAAGTAGAGATTTTTTTTTTATCAACTTTTACTTTTGCAGTTAGTTCTATAAGATTAGAGTACCCATACGAAAAGCGAATATATTTTTTTCAGACAATATTAATTATCCCATATCCCATTTCTCTCATTACTCCCTCCCATTCCCGTACCTGACCTGGTTATTAAGCAACGATTTTAATTATTAATTCCATTCCACAGATTAGGAAATCTGGCCACACAAATGCTGTTTGTCTGAGGTTACAATGTAGCCAGTAGGAGAACTCTTAGAACGTGGGTATCTGCAGTTCCATTAAGAAAATTGGTAACACATTGGGGCGCCTGGGTGGCGCAGTCGGTTAAGCGTCCGACTTCAGCCAGGTCACGATCTCGCGATCTCGCGGGATCTCGTGATCTCGCGGTCCGGGAGTTCGAGCCCCGCGTCGGGCTCTGGGCTGATGGCTCGGAGCCTGGAGCCTGTTTCCGATTCTGTGTCTCCCTCTCTCTCTGCCCCTCCCCCGTTCATGCTCTGTCTCTCTCTGTCCCAAAAATAAATAAACGTTGAAAAAAAAAATTAAAAAAAAAAAAAAAGAAAATTGGTAACACAATTTGGTTCTACACCTAAAAAAGGGCAGGTGGATTTCTTTCGTGTTTTCCTTTTTTAATAAAAGGAGGGAAGAGGAGAGGAGGAGACAAGTTAAGTGTCTACACTCTTCCAAGTGTTATGGTCTAGAACTATTCTGGACATCAATCTAGTGGATATAAAATATCACAGAGCAAATTACCCTTAATGTGCATCATTTCATTTCTACTAATGAAAAATAACAAAAAGGGATATAGGCAGGGCCAGACAATAGCCTTTGTCTTGCAAACTATTTAACTAAAGTATTTGATGTTGAAAAATCATTAAGTATGGACTTTTCTATACATTTTATGAATATCCAAATAACATTATAAATGTATGAAATAAATGTAACTGTAAAAGTGTAAGACAATTTTTTAAATAAACACAAAAAGATTTTCATATGAATAACAACAGATTCTAAGTTTTAAAGAATAAAAAGTATCATCAGTTCAACCATCTATCTACAGTAAGACACACAATCATGTAACTGGCCTTCCCTCCAATCTCCCAAATGACTCGGGATCAAAAGACCTTTACTTACAGATCATTGGAAAGGACCAACCATGCACTGAAGGTCAGAAAATAGGAACCCTAGACACTAGCTG